TTCTTCTTCTTCTTCTTCTTCTTCTTCTTCTTCTTCTTCTTCTTCTTCTTCTTCTTCTTCTTCTTCTTCTTCTCCTTCTTCTTCTTCTTCTTCTTCTTCTCTGTCACTTTCAACCACTTTCCTTATTCTTTACTCTCCCTTCCCAAAGGTGCCCTTGGCCACCATCTCGTTCTGTTTTCCATGCATTTTTGTCCTTCCGATTTGTATTTATCCTTGCGCTGAATTCCCAAGGAAACGCATTGATAGTGATTTTTTGACTTCAAAAAGCACAAAAAAAAAGGCTGTAAACACGGAAGCACTGCTGGGGCCGAGTATTAATAGTGCTCTAGATTTTTCTTTGCTTGCAAAGAACCATTCTCTTTTGGACTGAACTACTTTGCTCTTCTTTTAAAACGGCCTCGGAATTGTGTCGGCATTCAGAACTTCTAAGCGTGGTGCCTTGGTCACAGATAAGCTTTAAACTCACAGCTGGAGAAATTTGGTTTGGTCTTTTAGGAAGCAACGTGCATTGCATCTTTCTTATTTTATTTTATTTTGACATTAAACATCAAACGAGGTCTGGCATCTTAAATTACCATGTCCTTGTCCAAGGGCTTAAAGTTTTTTTTTTTTTAATGTTATGTATTTTACAAGGCATGTGTTTTTCTGAATGGAAGCAAATGATCTCAGAAAGACCTGGAAAAGTGTTTAATGGATGCAGCCTGACCGTGTCTGTTAGTTAGAAGGTATTTCAAACTAATGAGGACAGCTCAGCAAAAAATATGTGTGCAATAGGTACATAAATCCCGACCTTAGAAATAAGATCGGTGATAACACAGAAAACACAGGCAAGCAAATGGAGTAGAACAAGAGAAGTGGCTACACACAGTGGGTGTGTAAGGCAGATTTGAGCTGTACACAATCAGAAACAGCTTAGACGACAAATGGAGCAGAGCTGAAGAAGGCAGAAATCCTACAGCTACAGCCTCTGACTTAATATTTTCTTGTTTGCATATTAGTTAAATATTTGTAGGGCTGGAGCAGGCAGAGCCAGGGTTGGAGTTAAACATGTCATCAGCTTAGAGTCCTTACATTGCCACAAACAATCCCCCTTGAGTTCCATTGATCCTTAACCTAGCACCCATTAAGGGCTGGCCGTTAGTTGACGAAATAGACTTGAAATAATAAATCTTCTGTGCTGCATATGGTGTCGATCGTTTGCGGCTGACATTGTCCTGCTCAAGGGTGGGACATGGGGCTTGGGGGGGTGTCTGTCTTCATTTTATTGCCTTTGGCTTAAGAGCAAATGAATGGCCCAATATGACTCAGTGTGACTTGAATTAATTGAGCTCCAGAAACAGGAGTGCATCCAATATAAAAACTCAAGAGCAGGTCATGAGTGGGGTAGCACCTTCCCACCGAAGTTCCTGGCAACTTATGTACAGATAGTCCTTGACTTACGACCAAAATTAAGCCCAAAATTTCAGTGGCAAAGCAAGACAGTTTTTAAGTGAGTTTTTGCACCATTTCTTGCCAAAGCTGTGAAGTGAACTTACATCTTAATATTAACTGAAGTTAATACCTTAGTAAGACAGTCATTATTGGGACGCGGTGGCTCAGTGGCTAAGACGCTGAATTTGTCGATCAGAAAGGTCGGCAGTTCAGCGGTTCGAATCCCTAGCACCGTGTAACGGAGTGAGCCCCCCTTACCTGTCCCAGCTTCTGCCAACCTAGCAGTTTGAAAGCATATAAAAATGCAAGTAGAAAAATAGGAACCACTTTTGATGGGAAGGTAACAGTGTTCCGTGCGCCTTCGGCGCTGAGTCGTGCCGGCCACATGACCACGGAGATGTCTTTGGACAGCGCTGGCTCTTCGGCTTTGAAACTGAGTTAGCACCGTCCCCTAGAGTCAGGAACGAGTAGCACATATTTGCGAGGGGAACCTTTACCTTGAAGTGAATCTGGCTTCCTCATTGACTTTGCTTGTCAGATAGTCACCATGACCCCGGGATAGTATGACCGCCATAAATGCATGTCGGTGGCCAAG